TCTCGGACGGCCGTCCGAGAAGACGTTCCTGCGCATTAATGAAATTTGATATGTACAAGAAATCTCCTGATTTTTACCAATTTTTTGCCACCATATAAAGAAAAATTGATCTGCACGAAAATAACCATTTAAGTAATCATTTTTAGAGCAACGCTCAAGATGCAAAGATGAAGAAACTCGAAGATTCAAGCATAGTTTTATTTCTCGCTTTTATCAAGTTTGTTTTGTTTTTCAAAATAATTGTGAGTAGCTAAACTTTTATATTCGATGATTTTATTTGAACCCTAAGTGGAATTTGTGAACCATTTTCCATGATTTTATGCAGTATTAATTCCGGGTGACTTCTTCCACTTATTTTATTAAGTTAATGAACTTGATCACTTTATGTGGTTTATTGTTATTATTGAATTTAAATCGGAAACTTCGGTTTGATAATTAGAACTTTGGTAGAAGAACCTGCAAGTCAAAGTGACATGTGTTAGCATATGAATACAGTAAAAACCTTAGGTAACCATAATTGAGATTTGTGTTTAATGATTTTTTCTTGATTGGATTACGTAGGAATATAGTAATTTGGTCTTGAATAATAGAATCCTAATATAGGCGGAAGCGAGTTACGATTAAACTATCATCTCAGGTGAGTAATCCGAACTATTTACTTTGCATAAATGAAGGTGTTGGGGATGACTAATAACATAGCGAGAATAGAAAATCCTAGGTTTGTCTACTTGATTAATCTTCATTTTTATTTGTTTACTTGCTCTTGCTTCTTATTTATTTGCGTTTTATATTTTATTTTAAGTTACAATTTTGTTAAAACAACTCGAAATTCGACTACGTAGGATGAGCTTGAACATAATTGGGATATTTTAGCGCTTAGGATTAGATAGTTGAATATTCTTCGTGGGATCGATAATTGTCCACTATATTACTTGTTCGATATGTGCACTTGCGTGTGGGTATTATCACCAACATATATCTATAGACAAACGTTAGAACTATATATGACCATTAAGGTCTAAGTGTTTCTCGTTATATTCGATTGACTGATGTTTTACAATATTTAGTGACTTCGTGAATAGAAACTTTCAGCCTTAGCAGGACCAACTTGTTGTAGTGTTTTTAGATGATATATTTATTTAGTTTGTGACGGAAGAAGCACATGATAATGATTTGAAGATTTGTCATAATTTACAAGTCATTTGTAGGTATTTATAGTATCTAGAATTGTTCGCTTATTAAGACATGTGGTGGGTTTTAAGGACCAAATTTCATTAAAGAGGATAGGCTGTGGAAATTTATCGAGGACGAAATTTGTTTAAGAAGAATAGGTTGTATCGACCGTAAAAATTTGAAGTAAGAATTTCTTGAAGGAGGGTGAGTTGTAATAACTATAAAAGTTTACCAGCATTTTAGTATTCATTAATGATTAATATTAGTTTTATGGATGAATTATAAATAAGCCCATGAGAAGATTACTTAATTAAAAAAAAAAAAAGGATATCCTACTTTTTAATCTTGCAAATATATCCACTGATCCAACACTTATTTGCAACTAAAGAAAATTGTCTCATATTTACCAAAATTACCCTTTACTCGTTAAAATCCTATTTCTCCCCAATTTCATGATTTAAACCCTATTTTACCCTCAATTTCACCAATTCACCAATTTTGACTTATAACCCAATTTTAACCCCAATTTTGACTGTCGCCGCTTGTGACCACCGGTCAGCCACTATTCACCTTTTTTTTCGTGATTTTTCTTTTTTCTGGAAATATTTTCAATAATAGTATTGTGTTAATATTATTACTGTCTAGGCCTGCAATAATATTGTCTCAGGCAGTAATACTGTATTACTGTCTGGGACAATAATATTATTGTTAATACATTAATATTATTGTGTTAATATTACTCTGTTGTTAAAAAAAATTGAAAAACAAAGTTTAAAAAAATATTTAATATTAGTGTGAATGCACTAATGTTGTTGTTAAATGTCATTAAATTAAATGGTAGTTAGTTCAAAATATTTTCCTAACTAGGGGATATAATATATTACCCCTTTTAAAAATAATCTCGTGCATCGCACGAACTAAAACACCAACATTGTAAAATTTCTGTGAGTTCTTTCTCCTTCTTTAGTGGCTGCTACAGTTAGTTGTATATATAGCGCGCAATTTGTCGTATGCGGAGATCCTTTGTCTTGGCTGAAATAAACTACTGGAATTTTCTATGGTATTGTTGAATAAGTTTAATTTTATCCTGCGTTATTATTTTTCTAATCCCATGCAACGAACGAGTAAGTTACTAAAAGAGAGGTACGTTCGACAGTAACCATAAAAATTGTATGATATACGACGTGTATGTTAGTAGTCTTATTAACAAAAGAAGGGTTCCTAGAGAAACCCCAAGGGCAATTTTTCCCGCCTATTTGAAGGTTGTTGTTGTAAATATTTTATTTATATATATATATAACTTTTTTTTAGCCAAACGAATTTATTATTCCATTATTATTTAGAGTTTTGGGGCCTCGTTAAAAACCTTGTGGGCCTACACAAGGTACAAGGGTACTCCTACAATGGCAATAAAAAGTTAGGGGCAACCCTAACCATTCTAATACAAAATGGCACAAAAAATGGAAATAGCAGAAATGCCCCCATGCTCTGCCACTAAAGCAATTATTCAAATTTGCTTCTTTGCCGACCTCCATTAATACCCATTGACACATGCTCTTCCTTTTAACTATCATTTGCTTCCACCAAATTGATACAAGTCCACTGGATCAAGGGCAAGAAGATGTCTAATTTTCCGCGGAAAAGATTATACTTTCGTATGTTGTTTCAATGCACGATGATCATGAGCTAATTTAGCTAAACCATCAGCCACATTATTCCTCTCTCTATAAACATGGACAATCCTCAGACCCTCTTTAGGTAACCGACGTATGGCTTTGATCAGATAATGATATTCCCATCCTATCGTTGTTGTATTATGAATCATATCAATTATCCATTTGGCATCCGATACAACTGTCAACAATTGAATACCCAGGTAATTCCATATTGTAATACCGTCAAAAATCGCTTGAGCTTCTGCAGTCACAAGTGTGCCTTCCCTAAAGAAATGTGAAAAACTATGTACATAATCTCCATCTTGGTTTCTAATAAGGCCCCCTCCAGAAATTTCCTCACTATGCTTTGAGCCATCAACATTGATTTTTAAATGTAATGGGTCTGGCGGTTCCTATTTAAGCCAGCAACCATTACCCACAGCCCGTTCCTTTAGCTTAGTATTCAAATTTTGAATATTAATCCGACACAGCACAGTCGTCGATTTCCTAATTTTCTTGGCGCTGCTGAGAAAAGACTCTTCTATTTCTCCTAGCAATGACTCTTAAGAAATACATTCTTGATAATAATATCCGTGTTCATCGGAATGTCTTAAAAAATAGCCCGACAATGACTCTTCCATATCTCCCACCAACCAATCATAAGGATTCCAAGTGCTAAGAGGCCTCCCTGGGTGTGAATGCTAAAACCGTTCGTCCAAGCTCGTACCAAATGTTGCATGGAAGCGTAATGATATGGTTTATTCCAGACCCTGGCATAGTAGCTCCAAACTCCTTGGGCTACGTCTGAATGGATGAATAAATGCGGAATATTTCGTTGAGAGTTAACGCAACAACGACACTTAGAAGGCGCCATGCAGCCACGCCTCCGTAACGCCGCATCTACATGCAAAGCTCTGGAAATAAGTTTCCATAAAAAAAGGCACTAATCTTTAGCGGGATTTTGGAGTGCCACATCTTTTTAGCGAAAGGGATCGTATGATTTGCATGGAGAATACTCTCCCTGTATTCCTTCAAATGAGGCGATCTTCAGCCAGTTCATCCAACTCCATAAGTTGGAAAAATTTCCTTTGCTCCTCTGTGAGAAACTGAGTGTAAAACGCTTCATGTAACATTGCATTGCGGACGTGAGGGTACGATGATCGTCAAGTGTATCCTCATTGAACCAGTTATCCTTCCAGAAATCAATTTGACCTTTTCCCACCAACCATCGACTATGACTATCCAAAATTTGAAAATGAGGAAAGATTTACGCCATAGGAGAGATGCGTGAATGGGAAGATAGTGTCTGAATTCGATCCCATATTTGGCATTGGAGAATCTCGCCCACATCGATTTGCCCTCCAGCACCTTCCAAGCGAGTTTCCCAGCCAAAATATTTTTCATTACCCCCAACGAACGAAGCCTTAAACCTCCATCCTCCTTGCGTTGGCAAACCTTGTTCTAGTTGATCCAATTAATCCCCGATCCTTCTTCTTTAGCCCATAAAGATTTACGAAAAAGAGCTTCCATTCTATTTGGGGTTTGGCGAGGCACAACGGCGGAGGATAGGGTATGTATGGGAATGCTATTAATTAAGAATAGACTGGACCAACGTGATTCTGCCACCAAATCTCAAGAACTTTGATTGCCACACAACAAGACGGTTTTGCATATGTTGCACCAAATAATCAAAATGCTTTACCAAACAACGGCCTTTGTAAATTGGAACTCCAAGATACTTTAACAGTAACATTTGATGTTGGCAACCACTCCAATCCTTTATAAGGTGAACCTTTTTCTTCTTGTATCCGCTTTGAGTTATAAACACTACTTTTCTCCAAGCTAATCATCTGTCCCGAAGACATCTCGTATTTTTTTAGCAATGATCTATGTTTCATGATTGAGGATTTAATCCCTTTTGAGAACAATAGCATATCATTGTCATAAAATAAATGGGAGATATGGAGTGACCCTCGTCGTGCCTTGTATTTATTTAAAGTATTTTGTTCCTCGAGTTGTTTAATATTCAACGTAAGACTCTCCATGTGCAATGATGAATTGAAATGGAGATAGCGGGTCGCCCTGACGAACCCCTCTTGAGGACTTAAAGTGTCCATAAGTCTCTCCATTAATCAATATAGAGTACCAAATATTAGAGAAGGAGCGATACATTCAATCAAAGACTTGATGCGAAAATCCCAAAACTTGCATGGTTGTGATCAAGAAACGCCCCTCCAATCGGTCGTAGGCCTTGGACATATCGAACTTGAAAATTACATTACCGCCTTTCACTTTCCGGTCAATATCCGACACCAACTCTTGAGCTATTGCGATGGACACGAGAATTCTTCTCTTCTTAATAAAACATGTTTGTTCTTCAGAAGCTATTGTCAGGAGTATCTCACTCATTCTTGTGGGAATGATTCGGGAGATCAGGTTGCTACCAAAATTTTCCAAACTGATCGGACGGAATTGATTGAGCTTCTCTGGGTTTTCGACCTTAGACAGGAGAAAGAGAAGAGTGATAGTCATTCCTCTAGATAGATAATCACCAAGAAAATACCTTGTAAGCATCTCCATAAAGACTATCCTAATTATATCCCAACAGTGGACGTAAAAATACCCTGTGAACCCATCTTGCCCCTGAGCAGTGTCTGGTGATAATGTTTTAATAGGCTTGAGCATCTCTTCTTCCCCTGGAATCGCACCAAGACTGAAATTCATCTATGTTGTAACATTCGCTTCCACATGAGAAAAAAGATCATCATGCAAAAAGTATATGGGCTGGCACAAAAAAGATCTGTAAAATACGATCTCGCTTTTTCCCCAATTAAAGCCATGTCCGACGTAAGCTCTCTGTTGTCAAGCTCGAGGGAGATCGCATTTCGTTTTCTTCTTTCTTTGATTTTTGCATGAAAATATGTTGTATTGCGATCACCCTCCACCATCCATTTCACCCTATCCTTGCTAGCCAAGAGACCCTGCTCCCAATTAAGATGTTGATTGAGGATTGTCTTGACTTTCTAACATTCCGCGAAAGTGGCATTGTCCCAGGAAAGAGTAAGGCTTAATTCCATCTCCGACACTCGACTTTGCAAATCAGCAATATTGTAATCCAGGCAGCCAAAAACCTCTGAATTCCAATGCTTAAGGGCTGACGGAGACAGGAAAGTTTGCCCTCAAAATCCTGTCGGCCGTTAAAGAGTTTTCCGAATTCCAAATGTGGGTAACAAAAATTATAAAAAAATTATGTTCAATCCACATTTGTTGAAAATAAAACTTAGATTTCCGAGAGGCCAGGTTCCCAAACTTGAACAGAATGGGTGCACGGTCCGATTCTATTCTGGCCAAGAGGATTACTTTCGATGAAACTTGAGAAAAGCCTGTGCATTAAGCAAAATACGATCAATTCTTTGCCATATGAAATTACGACCATGCTGATTGTTACTCCACGTAAACATATTTTGCTTCATAACCTGCATCAGTGAGCCTAGCCTCCACCAAAAATTCATTAAATTCCTGCATGCCAAGTGATGCAGACCGAAACCCACAATAGAAAAGAGATAGAAAACGATAGAAGACCGGGAATCACTCAATCGGCGGAAGCGGACTCACTCAACGCTACTAATCACAGAATCACTCAACACGACCAAGTCACTCACTTGTATAAAGAGGAATCACTCACTCTCAATGCAATTAACTTGCAAGATATTTTTCAACTTAAACAATCATCCCCCATTTTATTCATCTAAAGGGTGCTTATATAGGAGTTTTGGACTTATATAGGAGTCTTGGAACATCCCTCCAAAACATAGAAAATTTAAGAAGCTTGAATGACTTATCATCTTCTAATTCTAGAAAATAAATAAACTTGACCTTGACTGATGAAATACATGGAATATGACCTGATTAATTGATAACAAATTGAATAATTATAAATTAGACTAATAAAATAAATAAAACACTTAGAAATACCAAAAGACACAAAGCTGCCAATTTTTCCGAGTGCAGCCGACAGGCTTTAGAAAACTGATCATAACTTCTTCTTCCAACCTTTGTTTTGTAAACCGTTTTTTGTGTTGGAAACTAGAATTCCAGAGCTTTGTAGCCATATATAACAATAAATATAACTCTTCGGGAATAAAAAAATATGATTTTTCAAAGTTGACTGATATGCAAACATCAATTCTGCATCATTTTCCCTTTATTAAAAAGAACTCGTCCTCGAGTTCGAACCAAAACTCGATTTTTTTTTTCTGAAATGTTTGTAGGAATGTAATTTCACTGGAGTTTTGAGACAATTGCGACTCGGTGTACCTTTTAATGGAAGCAAAACATACTTGGTCACTTTCTGGAAAACCGAATAAGTATGCTCTCTTCCATCATGGTGACCATCTCGATCATATTGCCACGGACTTCCCAAGAAAATATGAAAAGAATCCATGGGAAGAACATCAAAATAGGCTTCATCGTCGTAAATTCCAATTGAAAACTTCATGCGATCGTTGTGAGAAATTAGGATTTGTTCTTTTTAGAACCACGAAGCTTGGTACTTCTTTAGACGTTTCTCGCACTCGAGTTTCAACTTGTCAATCATAGACTGAGGCACCATATGCACAAAACTCCATGAATCAGTCATTAAAATATATTCTTTGGATCCGCCGAGACAAGGTGTCTAAATGTATTGTTGGGAAACCATACGTCATCTTGTTGGACCGACATCTCCCCTTGGATAACAAGACTTTCCATCTCCCAAGTTTCACGATGATTCTCTTCTTCAGCCTTGTGCTCAAATTCTTCATCAAAACGAGGGGGTTTGTCTTCTTCACCCTATTGATCTTCCTCGACAATGTTAATTTCATCAAGATTTTTCCACTCAAAGAAAACCTCTGGTGAATCTTTCCAATCACAATATTCATCCGCATTTACTGTTATATCATTTTGAGCGGGGAAAGGATTTACAAAAATACGGGTTGAACTTGAGGAATTGTCAAGTTTTCCATGGGCTTCGCTTATAGAATTTTGAGAAATATTTCCTCTACATCGAGTAGGAGAAATTTGTCTTGACAGAAGTTCATCTACCCTTTGTCGAAGTTCAGCAATTTTCGCGTGGACATTAACTTCGAAAATATTTCTTCGGCGACGGGGCAGCATTTTATTTGATCAGAGTATGAACAAAAGCATGACCTGACTGATACCACTTGATGCAGGACAAAACCCACAACGAAAAAGAGATTGAAAACGATAGACGACCGAGAATCACTCAACCGGCGGCAGCGGACTCACTCAACGCTACTAATCATGGAATCACTCAACGCGACCAAGTCACTCACTTGTATAAATAGGAATCACTCACTCTCAATGCAATTAACTTGCCAGATATTTTTCAACTTAAACAATCATCCCCCATTTTATTCATCTAAATGGTGCCTATATAGGAGTTTTGGAATATCCCTCCAAAACATAGGAAATTACAAAGCTTGAATGACTTATCATCTTCTAATTCTAGAAAATAAATAAACTTGACCTTGACTTATGAAATACATGGAATATGACCTGATTAATTTATAATAAAATGAATAATTCAAAATTAGACTAATAAAATAAATAAAACACTTAGAAATACCAAAAGACACAAAGCTGCCAATTTTCCCGAGTGCAACTGACATGCTTTAGAAAACTGATCATAACCTCTTCTTTCAACCTTAGTTTTGTAAACTGTTTTTTTTTTTTTTTTTTTTGTGTTGGAAACTAGAATTCCAGAGCTTTGTAGCCATATATAACAATAAATCTAACTCTTCGGGAAATAAAACAGATGATTTTTCAAAGTTGACTGATCTACAAACATTAGTATCAAGAGATTCCACAGCCGCCTTTCTTTTCATCAAGAGATATAATAAAATTAAAATCACCACCTAGTATCCATGGCTCATTCATGCGACTACTTAGTTGCGTAAGATAATCCCATAAAGGCCACCTTTCCTGCCGTTGACATTTAGCATAAATAAAAGTAAGATTTTCTTTGTACATATGCTTTCCTTTGTACATATTTGGTAAGACTACATCCATCATGATGCATTCGGTCTGAATGTCGACAACATGTAAATCCTCATCCTCTCTCCAAAAAACCCAAATATACTGATTAAGAGGATGTCCATGTGTAAAATTGGTGAAACCAAATTGGCGAGCAAAACTGGGCAATTTCAAAATTTGTTGTTTAGGTTCCAAAACAACTACTATTTTTTGTTTTTGTTGAGCGGTTAACTTACCTAAGTAGGTAAGGGAACTTGGTTCCCATACCTCGAATATTAGCACCGACTGAGGAAACAACATGATTGAGGGCATCTACTACTATCTTTCTTTGGCGACCAACGCTTCGCATAGTTTTTTTCGATGATGGATTCATGACTCATTAATTTAATTTTTTTTATTTAATTTCCTAATAACACGGTTCCTATTTTTTCGAACTACTTATTTTTGTTTTCTGTTTTTCTAACCAATCTAAACTTCCTAACTACATCCTACTGTGTATGTTATACTGGATTCAATTTTCAATATATCCATAAAATCAACTAAAATTTTCAAAAATATTTTACGACCAATATATCCAAAAAAATCAGCCAAAAAGTTCTCGAAATAAAAGAGAGAGAAATCAGTTCGAATTTCCAAAATATTTGGCTCATATCTAATTCCTTCAAATTAACCTATAATCATGGCAACAATTATTTATAATATTTTATTTTATGCTCCTCAATCGTTGTTCTCATCTCCACCACTTCTCACGTTAGTTTTCTTGTTCATCCACCATCGTTCTCTCCAAATGAACTTTTGTTTCACATTATTTCTTTATACTGTTTCGGTTTACAATAGTATGGAAATTTGAATTAATAATTAATCTATATATATAATATAAATAATTTATTTATATTAATTTATTAGGTCAAAGGACCTATGCCTATATTCATCTAACAACTAGGATCTCTAGCTATATAAGTCCAAAATAAGGGGTGTCTAGCAAATTCCCCCTTTTATTTATGGATGTTTTTAAGTTTTTTCCTATTTTACATTTACACAATCATTTAATAATTACCACATGTATATATATTATTTCCAAAGTTAATATTTTATAAATTCGAAATAAAAAAATCTTATTTATATTTTCAGTATTTCAAAATATATTTATTCAAATAAATTCATGAAACTCAATTGTTTTACGAATATTCAAATAATTTTCATAAAAAAAATATTTTTTTTAAATACTAAAATATTAAAATAAAGGAATATGTTGTTGGTTTTTTTTTTTATTTTTTTATTTTTAATTTTCAATATTTTAGAATATTCGAATATCCATTCCATTAAAAATAATAATAAAAAAATGTTTTAGTTTTTAATTGAAGTATTTAATAAATATACACTATTTTTTTATATAATTTTTATTATACCATATTTCAAATTAAAAATAATTATATTATTTAATAAATATGCAATGCACGGTGGATTAATTCTAAATGCAGTAGTTGGTTGTATATTTGGAAAACACTATTTAATATATAATATGGTCCGAACTATAAAATGGATTATGCATTATATTTATTAATTATTATTTCAAATAAAATATCAAATCACCAATATAAAGGAATCTTTAATATTCCAAGATTCCATCATATCATCTTTGATTGATTTAATTTATACTTTAATTCAAAATTGAATGGTAAAAAATAAAA